ATATATGTATGTATCTATATATATATATATATATATATGTATGTATGTATGTAAGTATGTACGTATATATGTATATATATGTATGTATGTATGCAGGTATGTACGTATATATATATATATATATATATGTATATATTATATTTATATTTATTTATATATGTATATATGTGTGTGTGAGTGAGTGTGTATGTATGTATGTATGTATTTATATTTATATTTATTTATATATGTATATATATGTGTGTGTGAGTGAGTGTGTATGTATGTATGTATGTATGTATATGTATATGTAAATTCGTTTATGTTATTTTATTAAGCGATTTTATGTGTATGGATGATTATTTGGCATGGTTGTGTGAACAAGCCTTCTCTGGTGTTCGAGTTGTCAGTGATGGTTGTTGGGTGTGGTGACACATAGTTACTGTTGTATCTATGTGGTTTGTGCTGCGTAGCAGTGATTGAGATTACGAAACCAGTTGCGTGCTTGCCATCTTCTCTTGGAATGTGTCGAGATTGAGTTGATGTATAACGCACACATACCTACTGGAGATACATAGTGTCGCTTTGGACTACTGATCACCTTTGACCTCTAATATCGCAGGCTCACTATGTACGTATGCGGTACGCTCCTCTATTTGAATTTGTTACGGAAGCCTTCGGTGATTATTGCGGAGACATACGATACAACTCTCGAACAAACAATATACTGTTCATCTGTCGTTTGGATAGTTTTGTCTGCCAGTCCTATGCATATCATGAATACCTTTGCAAGATCCCATGTGTCATGGCTTTTCACTGAATGATAGAGTTTAACGTTTGCGGATACTTGCAGAACATACAGCAAGATATAATGAATATATATATTATTCCCTACAGGCACATGGACTCTTGACGTAAAAGAACAAACACAAGGAATCATCGAGAACATCCAATCGATCCTATCGGAAGCAGGCGCAGATTTGAGTCATGTTATCGATGTGACTGTATTCCTCACCGATATGACGCACTACAAGGGTTAGTATTGTGTTTACCTCATTATTGCTTTCTTGCAGCCGTGAGGTTAAACTTGTAGTCAGCCTACCTAGTGTGTCGGGGTAAAACATTCACATTTATAATTCTGTCCCAAAGCCAAATATATCTAAACACTCGAGCAAGAGATCAACCAATGCTTTGCATCTATCTTAGTTGTGTTCTCCACCATCGACTTTGTTTTGGATGGAAATAGGAGGACTCTGGATTATGACATTAAGGTTAAATCATTTCAAATTTTGAGGTGATTCAACCTTAACTAAATAAGCAGTGATTGCTGGGTCTCGCGGGTGCACGAACCCTTTGTAAATTATTGGAATACAATCTGAACAGAAGTCGAACACCTTCCGCCACAGATATGCACTCAGTAATGAACTATTTTATTAATGCTTAAATTCTCTCTTTTTTCACCACAGGCATGAACGAAATTTACAATAAGTTCTTCGACCGTGATACTGGACCCACACGCACGTGTGTGGCCGTGAAAGAACTGCCCCACCCTAATCTGCTGATCGAGATCAAAGCTCAAGCTCTCGCACCCGTTCAAAGCTCTTAAAAGTGTCACCCTGACTTTTCATCTGGCGTGGGGTATAGTTTAAGATTGTTTCCACAAATTGATTGTGTTCACACATTGTACATTGGAGCAATCAGTTGTGAACTCCCAGTTTCTTCATTCCTCGACACCTGGGGAATTCATCCTGAGACACAAAAGCGGTCAACTTAACATACTCGGCATTGTACCTCGTCATAATAAGAATATATATAGCAATCGGCGATGGCTTGAGGCTACATGGTAACACCCATGCTCGCCTATGTTGCTGTCATTGCTGCACAAGGATACAATACTGCAGATGATTTTAGTCGTGTGATGCACTTGAAAGAGCGTGATCGATTTCAGCTGCCCTGACCTTGGCCCAGCATGATGCACCGTGTTTCCTGCTATAAATCACTGGCCATGCCAGTTCGACGCGAATGGCTTGTACATGATGATGTGGAAGTTTGTGCGCCATGCTCCGCAGTAAGTTGGTGCGCCATGCTCCGTAGTAAGTTGAATATGCTGTGCCATTAAAGACGAAAATTCCCCATTTAGGAAAATTACAGGTGTTGCTAATATAACCGTTAAGCTCAGTTGTTGCGTTGCCTACGATTTATCGGCCTAATTTTGAAGTAAGCAACACAAATCATTTAATTCATGTGTAATTCATGAGTAGGTACGTGGTAATTAAATTCAAATTAAGCAACTTCCATTGATGTCAGGAAATTTAGTTAGTGACATCGCGTATTCTGCCAACGACCTCGTCTTTTCCAAGGATCATCATGACCTCGTAGATACCGGGAGATGCGGTGGTGCCAGTCAGAGCTGCTCGCAGGGGCTGTGCGATGTTTCCAAGCTGTTGTAATCGGACATCAACAGTCAATATTAGCAATTGAGGCATAGTATTGTATTCATATCAAAGAATCTAGATGTGGGCTAAAGATTAGCAGTGTGCACCCTGCAATATCATACGATAAAGGAGTGCCTTGCACTCCTCTCGAGGTGCTCCACTCAAATATGTTCTCTATTGAGGTCACATACACCCAAGTTCCTAACTCACATCCTCAGTACCGTGGCTTCCTCGGAATAATCTTGCTTCACGCGTCCTATACTACCGTGTGGTATCGGTGTACTCTGCACACCTTCGAGCACACCGATACAACATGGTAATATAGGACGCGTGATGCAAGACTATTTCGAGGATGTGAGTCAGGAAATTAAGTGGTGTTAGGCACATCTCACTACATCTCCTCACAGCAGCTTCGATCATTGGTTTCACAGTCGATGTCTCACTGTACGCTTCTAGTTAGCAAAAGTTCTAATTACTCAAAAACGGAGGGAGAATCATATGGGCATGCTGCACCACCGTTTGCAAATATCCAATAAACGAAATGAAATTTCAGTGTCCTACCTTCAGCTCTTTGGCCTCAGCCTGTGCCTTTATCAATGTCTCAAGGCCAGCCTCTGAGTAATCAGAAGTACCTTCGATCTCAGCTACAAGATCCCTGAGGATGTCTTTACCTTTATCGTTCAATTGCTTCTCAGCTGTTGAAGTGAAAGATATGAGCATGTTAGATATCAGAAAACACTCGTTGAGAAGAGTGCATTTTGAGGAACAGACAGAATCACAGACACTTCAGGTTAGATCTTTCAAAATAAATTGTAGCTAGCAACCTACAAGTCCGAGCTCGCATAATTATCACTTATGGTATACACGTATACACATAACACGATATGCGCAAATGTGCCCTACGATCCACCCAAATCTCAATACACGACAGCCAATGCCCGTCGGCACGGAAAGATCTAGACATCGCCACAAGTACAATCGAATTACCTTTTTTATCGAATGAAAGCGGTCGCGTTGCGTATAGGAAAGAGCCTGCGGTGGTGAACTGGGGAATCGTCTTTGCTCGTGGCACCAGCAATGGCAGCGCCTCCCGAAGACGGTCCTCCTATTGAAATGGACAAAAATAATCAAGTATTATAGATGTATTTCGTCGGTTGTGATTAACTAAAAAAGAGTATGACATTTCAGTCGAATGTTCGATGCTCACCTACAACGGTGCAAGGATGCCGGCTCAGCTCTAGGCGCCTACTAAATACACAATATTCGGGAGCATCTACATACGTACCGCATGCAACATGGAGCATACGCTGCTAAGCCCAAACACATCGCTATTTATGCGGTAGTAGTAGTCTCGACACAATGGTTACATATCCAAAACTTCGCTTGCCTGTAGCATTGAAGGACCAAATACACGCACACAGCATCGCAAACATACTCCGATGGTCGCTAGCTCCGGACAGTTCTTAAGAATAATCTTAACGAGATCGTTAGTGGGATAGTCGCGGATGTAAGTTCCGTTCATTGCTTCCAGGTTCTTGAAGTCCATGGTGGCAGCGTGCTTGGTGCAGTCTGCAATGTCAAACCACTCGATCATCTGCTCCTTGGTCATGATCTCGTCATCGCCGTGACTCCACGACATGCGAGCCTGTGAGTTTAAGTGCACTGACATGATGAGCGGTAAATTCATCGCACAGGTCGCTGCAGCATTTCTCACTTTTTGTTATTCCGTATTCTTGTGCATTTGATCTCTATGGTATTAGGCGGTGGTGAAGCACGAAAGGTCGACATAGTCACGAAAATTTGATCAACGTCATTGCTCAATTTTAACGTGTAAACCAGATTCCTTGGATACACTTCCGAGTACTGTTCACATGTCTGTCGAAACACAGTACCTGAGCATAGCACAAACACACATTTCGTGTGTAGATGTATGCACAACAGGTCTGTCGCGTCACAATATGCACCCAGACCTCGCAAATACTTGCAAAAAGTATACATTGGAAGACAACTACAACAATTACAACAGCAAGAAACTGTTAAACTAAGCATACCAGGTAGTTAAACAAGGCTTCCGGTAGGTATCCTAAGGACTCGAATTCTTCCAGACCGGTAGCACCATGGCGCTTGGACAGCTTCTTTCCATCAGTGCCGTGAATGAGAGGAATGTGCGAGAAGACGGGGGGTTCCCAACCACACGCCTGTAAAAATTGATAAAAGAATAATGTTTCTAAGTTTATAAACGATCCAGTGGGAGGTCGCTATAATATGAGATGTATTCCGCACGATCATTCGCGTTATGGCTCACCGCTATACATATATCACAGTAGTCGACAAATTAAACCGCTCAACGCTGCCAAGGCGGAAAAGCCGTCACATAATGTTCTCAGCAGCCATACCCTGTATATTTGTAATTGGCGGGCGGTATTTGTAATGTGATCAGACCCTCGGATGACGTGAGTGACATCCATATCATGATCATCCACGACCACAGCCAGCAAATAGATGGGCTTCAGGTTGGAGCGCAGAATAATCAGATCATCTAAAGTTTCATTTTGGTGGCAGACGTTTCCCTGTGTGTTGAGAAGACAAGTAAGTCAGAGCAATCTCGGGTGTGCGAGGGGTATATCGCACGCCATCCCTTGCCCCAGGACTGATATTTAAAGTAGAAGTAGAAACTCAAGTATAACGAGGCAGTTTAGTTGCAACAACCAGATTGAGACACTCATAATACCAGATATACATGAAGCCTACTCAGACCTGAGCAAGATGCAAACGTGAATGAATACTAATGAACCATACTTGGACAAGATCGTCCCACTGAGTATCGCCAGTCGCCTCACTCCTGAGACGGATGACGGGTGCGACGCCGTCAGGGTGTACGTAATCCTTGGGCAGATCACGACATATCCCTGGGTACCTGTCACAGATATGATATTTCCATAAGAATTATACTCGCACCGACAGGCAGTGCTTAGATTGATTGCGATATTATATGGGGTAGTGATTGCATAGTCTCGATCGCATCACATACTCTGTGTACAATATTTGAACGTAAAACAGATTTATACAGCTCAGGTATACTTTACGTATTATATAGAGGCGAAGACTCCGCTTTCATTAGCAGTGCGAAGAGCGTATGGGTTGACGAAAGTGTCTTTCATCTAACACGACTCTCCAATATCTGTTATTAATATTGGGATGTTAACGCCCAATATTATAATAAAAAATATACAGGTGGAATAACCTCTCAAATTGCAAGTTGGTTGTACAAGCAACTTCCAAAAGGTCTACTTATTTAAGGCAATCTATACAGTAGACATAGAAGTTGCAGGCGGTGTGCCAATAAAAGCTCTACTCTGGTTTTTGTTAGTGTTCGATTCGAATCACCCGATATTTATATCTCTATTGCTTCCCGAGTACATTTCTAAAAACAGTACTCTTACTTCACATACACTGAACTGTTTAAGCACTGGTAAAGATGGCAAATACAGCTATGTGAAGAGTACACTTGTTCTTGCCAGACATGCACGGCATTACCTGAAAGGCTTCTTCGCCTTCTGGAACTCTGCACGGAGTTCATCTAATTTCTCCTTTGAGCAATAACACTTGTAGGCTTTGCCCTTTTCTACCAGGTCCAGACCGACTGTATACACAAATAATAGCAAGAGTGAAACAGAACTTAAGTTGACTCCAAAAACAGACTTAAACACACGCTTGCTATCGAGCGCGTTATTGCCATAATTGAGCAGGATGCTAGTCATATTGGATACAACAAAGTTTACATCTGGCATTGATAGTACATAGAAATTTGCTCTGACACGAGCAGGTCTTGATGCAATGAACAAATGGTATTGAACTGGCGACGCAGTGAACAAATGGTATTGAACTGGCGATGCAATGAAGAAAACAACATGAATGATCGATGTTTTTCTTCAAAGCCGTGGATTAAAGCTATATAAAGGAATATACTAGAGATAAAAGCATAGTAAAAATCCCTCACATATCATCTCGTGACAAATACCACATCACGCCCATCTCCTATCGATTCAGAAAGTGACTAAAGAGCCAAAGAAAAATCTGTCTAAAATCTAACACCAGCCCTCTGTAACTCTGAGTTCTCAACATCAAGCTGCACAATACTAGAAGTACTTACAATTCATTGCAAGATCGCACGCTAACTATTTCTGTCCTGTATCGTGATAGTGGCGTGTAAATCGGCACTGTTGACAGCAAACAGCTCGCTACATACCCTCCTGATGTCTATCACCACGCGCACTTTGGCGAGTGATTTCACTATCGTGATTGAGTCCCAACCATTTCATTCCCTGAATAATGGCCTCCACGGCTCCTTCGTTATGCCTGTCCGCGTCTGTATCCTCAATACGTAATAACATCTTACCTGGAAGCGAAATGGGGATTCATCGTTCAGATTATCAGACAAGAGGAAAAACTGTTTCGCCGTGAAACAAGAAACAAGAAACAAGATTTAGGTAACTCTTTGATACCACGCGCCTTGAAAACTAAAATATAATTGATAAATCTGGCTGCACACAGGGCAAATAAATTCAGCCCCTTGTAAAAATTCATGAGAATTAAAGCTACTTGTTAGCCGAAAGATAAAACAACCAGCGCATATTCTTTCAATTTGGTAAATTGTGTAACGATATCGAACATGCAGGGCTCAAGTCACGAAGCAACCCATTTCAAAGTGTAGAATACAGCATTGCTATGAAGATTCAAGTGAAATAAAAAACAGCCACACGACATATGTGTAATATATATATATATATATATATATGTGTGTGTGTGTGTGTGTGTGTGTGTGTGTGTGTGTGTGTGTATGTATGTATAATATATATACATATATATGTGT